ATATAATATAAGAAAAACAGAAATTGTTTTTTTTATTGTTTTAATCTGAATAATTTTTTTTATTCCGATCTCAGCTTCAAGCTTTGTTAACGTTATTCCACGTTAACTTTTATTTTGTTGTCCTCTCATCTCGCCGACTTTATTTTATTCTTTGTGGCTGCCTAATATAATTTGCTGGACTAACAGTTTTAGTAAATACGCTTTTTGATCTCAGAGGTATTAAGAGAGAAAGTCGGGGATAATACATGTTTTCCACAATCTAAAGACAACATTCATTATTTTAATAATTATTTTAATAATTATTAATATAGTATTTATTTTTTCTTAACTTTTCCACTTTGTTTTATTATTGAAGTTTATTTTTTGCTGTAATTGCATCTTTGCTTATTGCATTTAAGATTAACTTGTATAATATAAAAGATAAAATAATTAAATTTTTCAATATTTTTTTATTTGCTTAAATGTATGCTATTTCATATAGATATTATGTTTTCTTTTATTGAAATCAAAGTCTAAATGTAATAAGTAAAGTGGTTTTCTCCATAAATCGCTCGTTCGAAACAGCCCTGAGAAATTATCGCGAATGGAATCCGCAATATCATTTCGCATAATTGCATACAAACTTTATTGTAAGATTAATTAAAATTTTATATTCAAAGGAAGGCACTTAAATGTATTAAGACAAAGACAGATATTCTATTCAATTCAATTTCTACTTAATTCCCTAGTTCTACTGTTTTTTCACTCGCTCTGCTTCTAATAGATAATTAAAATCCGTTGTATGAAGTTTAATTAATTGTAGGGTCTATTACAGACGAAAGCGCAAACATCAGACTCACTATTACTGCGCGCTATATAGATTACCCCAAAATGTGCGAATGTGACAATACGCTAATGAATTTCTCACTCCATGACGAACTTGAGTTAGTATTAGTACAATAGAACCAGGTCGCAATTCTGTTCTATCTTATAGTCACCACATTCGAAATTCTAGACAAATTTCCATAGTAATTGTACTAGAAATGGACGTAGCTCCACCAGTCTTACTCGTATTATTTACGGCTTTACTTACGCATCTTGTGTGTCTGTATCTCACATGTGATATTCGTGAACTTCTCACAGTTTCACACTCACACGCGTACATATTAATACGAAATGAAATTTCGACATTGGAACTTAGCTGACTGATAGGATAATTTGTCTTCTATGAGGCGACGCATTACACGCTGTTGCCATTATTTGCCCAATTACCGCACGATTAAATTTAACATCCTCCTGTGTCTAAATTGCTTTTGTACGAGCGAGAGACCTATTTCCCTAAAATAGCAGTTGTCCAATCTTTCTTATTGCGATGCTCTTTTTGCATGATGACGAAATTTGCATGAACGCGTTGCTGCGACGTTAATGTAAATGGAAAAATGCGCTCAGTAATCAAGCTTTTACTTTCATCTACTAATACTATATTATATATGATTTAAAAAATATATATATTATTATTGCACCTATGATTTCAATTAAATATTAACTTTTTCAAAATATACATTGAAAAAAAAGAGTGCCGATTAAAATATATAAATTGATTTATTTATTTATCTAATTTTTGAAAATTTCTACATGATTGTAATAAATTTCTTTTCATATTTTTTTATTGGTTTATTTAAACATCTATCAAAAGTTTCAGCTCTAAAAATAAAAAGAATCAAGTACATATAATAGCAAAAATAATAATGCTTGTTGATAAACATATACATGGACCTATCATATCTTTTGATTTTCAATAACTTAGTAACAGGTGTTGCAAGTTGCATAATCAACGTAACCACAAATCTCGTGCGGTATGTGCCCACATCTGTACGTTTCATTCTAATTGTAAGTTCGACACCGCACCATTATTCAGTCGACACACAAAGACTAAAGTTTACCACTCCATTCTAATAGTAGCGTTGTTTGTTCAATTATCACACAATTAAATGCAATTCTAATTATCTTCACGTGAAAGTATAATTGCTTCGTTCACATACGATATTCTGGAAGAATAGAATAAGAGAAGAAAATTAAAAATAAGTGGAGCGTGTCATGTGTGAGAAATAGGTACATTATAATGCAGCTCGAGCGTTATATACAAATCTCATAAATTTATAAGCATATACCACCAAATATTTTATGACGACATATCATTGCTACAATCAATGTTGGTTTTTATGTTTTAGGATTTTGTTACGGGTTTGAGTATACTTGCTCGTGGCTCGATAGATGAAAAACTTCGTTGGACGTTTTCTCTTTATGATATCAACGGCGACGGATGTATCACGAGGGAGGAGATGACGGACATTGTGACTGCCGTATATGAGCTGATGGGAAAATTTTCTGATCCCAACTTGGACCATGAGGGTGTACGCGAGAAAGTGGATCGTATGTTTCAGGTAGAAAAATGAAAATAAATCTTCAAAACATTCGCTATTAAAAAGATTTAAAAATTTGATATATATTCTAAGTCAGTATTAGCAGATAACAGTATTATAGTCTTTCCAAAACTATTTCCACTTGGAAACAAAACCTAATAAACATGTATTTAATTGTAATTTATTAAAGAAGATTGAGTTAAAAATATCAATTTGGAGCAGACAAGCGTGATATTTAAATTAATGAATTTCGTATCTATTTCAAATGATAACTGTCGATAATCTGTTCACTTCAGCGAAAGAAAACGAGCGTCTGCGGAGAGTATATCCGTGAGACAGGAACGAGCCTTTCTTTTTAGAAGCTGTCACATTGTTAGCTACGGATGACAATGCCCGCAGTGCACTCGGTCTTTTCACCTATATCTCCGGCACTACAAGCGAAAAAAGGAGCAATCTATTTTACAGAGACAATTTACGCGGATGACGTGTCTTCTACCTGCCCAATAATAGCTACACGCTTTATCAATCCTATGACAAATGAAGTTCAAAGAGTTAACGTTTTTAGGATATGAATAGAATTGTGCTGACAATCGAACTGCACAAAACAGGCGTATTCGCCTTCGTAAAACAATTGTGTTGTAAAATACGCGATAAATGCCAACCAATATAAAAAGTTCAAAGAATGTAGATTTCCAATTTTTTATCTGTTACAAAAAAATTGTATAATAGTATAATCTGTTAAACGTAAAAAAGCTTTAAAGAAATAGCGCGGTAACAAATACATTGATCTTATTTTACTCGGACACGAATTACGATTATATAAAATTAATAAATATAAAATTAATAAATAATATTTTATATAATTATTTTATTTTGCTATTAGAAGAAAAGTTTTAAATTGAAAGCTTCTTTCATAATTTATTATCGACTGATATAAGCTATCAGAATCCTAGATCCTCATCTTGGATTCTGTGTAGTCAGGATCCATTGATGTGTTTCCTATGCTTTCGTTGATGTTGAAAGGAAACGTAAACGTCGACAGTAAAGGCGACGCGACCAGAAAGGGTAAATGCCTTGTTTAGTGTTGCTGCTTTTGAGACACACTGATACGCGTGTACACACTCGTGGTCGTGTATGTGGCAATCGCGACAGCATAAGAGAGATAGGATTAGTACCTCAACATGAAGCTCCAACTCGAAACCTCAGTATATGTGCGCACTTTACGTTTATATATGTATATATATATATACACACACACACACACACACGCGCGCGCGCGCGCGCGGAAAGTTTAAATTCTAATTGCCTGTGGTCTCAGTTCTTCAAAGACCCCAAGGGCTTTTCTCGAGGAATCGCGTCAGCTTCTCAATCTAACTTGCTGCTCCCGCGTTCTGACACACGTTATATAATAAACATGACACTCGAAGAGTTTTAATTACTTTCACTTGAACTTTTAAAAAAAAGATAAAAAAATGAATCTCTCTCTTTGAGAATGCTATTAGCAGATTAATTGAAGACTTGAAAAAAAAGCTTTATGCTTACAACAAAGTATTAGTTTACAAGATTTTGTGTAGAGTATATGACTCTCTGTTTCTAGGGTAATTTTCGAACTCTGAATCAGAATCTGCCATTGAAATATTTTCATCAGATCTGATTTTTAAGATATAAGAAAAGGTGTTCTTTTCAATATATAGTGATTTTATTGAAATTAGAAAACAAATTAAAAGTGTTGAGTATTTAATTTTTGCTAGATACATTACTTTAAATATGAAGCGCCACTACGGTCTGAATGTTAAGATTATTGAACTATTATATAATATATATTCATTTAAATGAATTAATTTCAGAAATTATAATTGCGTGTCGATATAGTTGTCGGACTTTCAATGCAATCAATCTGAAATATTAATAATCCCTCCAAATTTCCCAAATTTAATCTTAAAAAACTGTAATAAACTTATTGTGAAAAATATTGTCTCAGCTGAGAATCGAATCCGATCTCTTGCATTCCGTGCGAGCGTCCTAAGCCTTTAGATTACTTATTAAGAGATCTTATTAAGTTTATTATAGTTTTTGAAGATTAAATTTGGGAAATTTGGAAGGATTATTAATATTTCAGATTGATTGCGTTGAAAGTTCGACAACCATATCGGCACGCAATTATAATTTCTGAAATTAATTCATTTAAATGAATTTATACATATAATAGTTCAACAATCTTAACATTCAGACCATAATGGCGCTAATTTAAAGTATTTAACATAAACGATCTTATTTTCAATCTTATTATGTAATTTTTGTTTCTTATGTGACTCTGGATAGATTTCATATATTATAAGAACAGAAATAACCGATTAGCATGTTTTGTTCTAATATCCTTGATATTATTATATAATTGAGAAATATTATTAACATTAATAATATTTTTCAATTTTATTATCAAATTCTGGTGGAAATTTGCTCATTATTTTGTTTTACCTCAATTATTCGGAAAAAAATATTTTAAAATTAAAAAATAATACGTTATATGTGTGTGTGTGTGTGTGTGTGTGTGTGTGTGTGTGTGTGTGTGTGTGTGTGTGTGTAATGTGTTATTTTTTAATATATACATATATCTTAAAAATAATACTATATTTAAAAATAATACTATATTTAAAAAATTCCACTTGATGACATTTTCTAGCGGCATATTTCAATTCAGCGAAATTATATTTCGCTGAATTCGTATATGTTTAAAACAATTTCTTTTTTTGTATTAAAAATTATTCTAAATTTGTAATAGTGTAATGTACAAAAATATAGTTGGATTCTTATTCGTACACACATATTTTAATAATAAGGTATGTTTTACTTAAAAATCTTAATATTCTTTGAAAATTAAAAGATACTACGTTTTCTACTATAACATCATTTAATTGACATATCATGCATACATAGTTTATCTATCATTGTTGAACTACAAACAATTTGATAATAGTAATAGAAACTATTGGTCGCCGTTCACTATCGGATTAAATGTTATTCCTGGATATATTCTGTATCTGTCTATATTCTGTAGTTAGAACTTTTGATTCGCATGATGTAATTTATTAGTTTGTAGTTTGCAATCAATTCTGCGATTCACCATAAACTGAAATGTCTGCGAAACTGGAAACTATCTAAATTTCTGTGAACAGATGTTACTTGCAGTTAAACTTTATTGTCATAATATCAATAACATCTGTTACATGAATGATCCTCTTCAATGCCTTATTGTCACGTCATACCGTAATGCATGCAGAGAATGATAAAATTGTCGTATTACATTTGCGCACGTACATGATACTAAATATCCAAATATATATATTTATAAATATGAACTTATTCATCAATACGTGTAAATCAAATAAATTTCTCAGTAATAATACAGCTATATACATATATATCATATATATATATATATATATATATAAAACGCATACACACTATTTGTCAAATGTGCAGCTTATAATGATGTTCCGTTTGTAAACGAAAAAATGGAATATATCGTGAGGCTCAGATATGTGTTGTAGACATTCTACGTTTCCTTTTTCGGACATTAACGTTTGTACGTAGATAAATCGATTCAAGACTTTCGACTAAAAAGCTTGAAGAATGTGGTGCAAGACAAGACTTTTCTTCAACAGTTGAACAATTTTTCAGGCATCTTTTTATCTCACGATACGGATAGGTACTTTGAAGTTCGTCTTGTTAAAAAAAGCTATTCGACAAAAAAATATAATGTAGCAAATGAAATCAAGATGCAGAAATAAGACGAAATATAACAACAGACGGAAATACGAAAAGAAAAAAAAGAAAATGAATGTACAAAATGGAAAAAGTTTTATTTCACCACGTACGATATTAAAGTAAAGTACTCTCAACCAATTGTGAATGCAATAATGAGATCGTAAACGAAATTACACAAGGGATTCACAATTCATACTTTAAAAATAAATAAAAGAAAAAAGAGATAGAGAAAACATATGCTATACCGACATAACCATATAACATATATCATATTGATTTACAAATTTGATTAACCGATGTGACGCAGTCTCATATTACAGATATATTATTTATGGACTTACTTTACTAAGCTCCGATTATTTTTTTCATTTATACTCTCCCTCTTCTCCCCCTCTCCATTCTCTTATATTCTTTATTAAATGTTTTTTATATTATGATACAAATACTTGTCTTGTGAATGCAATTTCAATTACTTTTACTTTAAATTTATATTTTTCTTCTGTTTTTCTCTCGATTTTTTATATACTTGTCTATCACTTTGACGAATCACCACTTCAAGCAGATCGCGAGTGTAGAAAAACAAATAGAGTGAATGTGAAAACATTAATCGAATAGCTTTTCCCAAATGTATGTTTGGTGTCGCGTAAAGATCTTTTTTAATTATACTGATTGTGAGAATTGTATAAAAAAGCAGCCACTTTGTGACGTCATATAGTGACTTAATACAAATACTAAAATTTAGGCATAAATTATATGTGTATGTGTGTTTCAAAATTACATAATATTGTTAATTATTAATTTATTATTATAAATTAGTTTATTATTATTTATATTCAAACCTTAAAATTTTTTGGGGATTATTGAAAAATACGTTATATAACTCTCAATGAAATATATATGCATAATAATGTATAAGTCTTTGTCACAAAGTTTTTTTCATCTAAATTTTTTTTATATGAAGTAAGCTTTAATGAAGTTCCCTAAGTCAAATAATTAATAGACTTGTTGTAAAACATACAGTGTGTCTGAGTTTTTGGTCTTCTAAAGATCCTTTCAGGATAAACGATAAAGCACTATTAAAGGTAACCTCAAGCCATGAATATAAGCTAGAAATGAAAAATGAACCGGTGGACACTTTATAAACTTCTAACCACGGCACAATGGCTTTGAACGCTTACGAAGATTTTCAATGTGCTTGTAGAAAAGCGGTGAAAACTCCCGTTCTTTGCGGTTTTGTGTAAGATTCCATCAATATTCTTCTTAGATAACTTCTTTAAAGATGTAGCAAGCATTAGTTATGCACAATTATTTAAAAATCTGAATCAACTACATAAATACTTATGCATTTTTTCGTTTCTTTAACTTTTTTGTTAATCCGTAACAATCATACATATAATATATATGTATAGTACTCTTTATCGATAAAAATAAAAAAATTTTAGTTGTAATTTATAATTTTAGTTGTAATTAATATTCTTCCAAATTCCTTCATAAATCTATTTATCAGTTCTTAATTATATAATTACATAATAAAATAATTTATATTATATGTCTATACGTATGTTCTATGAATTATATTATTTTTTACCTTTCGTATAATAATGTAGTAATCCATTCTTAATTGTTCATAAAATAATTTGTTTCGATCAAACTAATACTAATTAATCACAAGGAAAGCGGAGGTAACGAATGTCGCAGAATACCTGCGTTAGTCGTAGCACTAATTAAAAACGAGCTTTATTCGAACACCGTTCGTTCTAGATAACGATTAAATCCGTCCCATTGTTTCTGGAAACTGCGCAGCCAGCTCTCTAGTACTTCTCATTCCTGAAAAATGGGCTACCTTGCCAATTTTTGGTTTTATGATTGAATCGTTTCCATGTTACGTTGCGAACAAGAGATCGGGACATAGGAGATAAAAGAAAAAATAAAATATGAGATATAAAAATTTGCAAGTTTAATAATTGTTATTACATATATTTTACAAAAATTTTAAAAATTGTGATTGTTAAAAATTATCAGAAGAACTGCTTCCGTTATTTGTTTCTGGAATTTATTAATTTACAAATTTACAAAAGCTTATATTATAATGTATATAGCACGAGACGTATTATATAGTCTTTTAGAATGAATGATTTGAAAATATATATTTACAACGAAGTTAATGATCTTTATAACATACAAATTGATGCATAATAGATTCTGTAATAAAATCCTATTATACTGTCGGTTCACCTAAATGTTCGCACAATCCTATGTTCCCCATATTTCCGGTAATTATCGTTGATTATAATATAATTACAAGGCTACGATAATGCACGATTTAACTTGTAGTAAGTCGTGATACCAATTAATCCTATCCAACAGTACATGACATCAGGCTCCACTCACGCATACGAGCTATCTGTTTCGCAGTGTGAGAGCAATAATAATTTTGCGAGTCGCACCTGCCAATGGCCGATTTACCATTGTACAATCTAAATGATCGTACATGCACGCAACATGACTTGAAATACCAGCCTCGACTTTCGATTGTATTTGTTCCGTAAATTAACTCTAATAGATTGCCACGAATTGCAGATAATCAATGCCCGATAATGCCTGCACTTCTAGTTGAATATATTTGAATAAATATACAAAGACCACACTGTTAATTAAACTATATTCGTTCATATAATTATTAATGGTTTACTATATTCGAAACAATGAGCTTGAAAAACAATCTTTTTTTTTATAAATTTAAAATTTTTTATTATTATTTTAATAGAAGAAATGTAATTAAATAAATTGAAATAATAAGTTAGTTTTACGTTGCACAAAATAACGATATTGAAAAATATTTGAAATTTGCGACGCAGTAGAAACAGACTTCGAATGCGACCGTGGTCGATCAGTTTTACATCAGTTCTACTTTAAGTGACGCATACATTTACATCGGCATACCGTCGTAGAAATATGGAAGTGTGAGAAGACGTCTACTTGCTTTTTCGTCGTAGACCGTCTTAGGATATACGTCAGTAGTAGTTTTCCAATCTAGGTCAACGTGGTGGCTTTTTTTTTAGTTTAAGCTTCATAGTAATTCCATTCATTCATGGTTCAGTCAATCATGTTAGAGTTAGGAGATATGAGATTCCGGATATCCGTGACCATGATGCAAAACAAAGAGAGATTCAAAAGCAGATTTTCGTACCTTTCTATAAAAAGTCTTCATAATACCTTTATAACGTTTTACCCATAATATTAACTTTTTAACACAATGTTTCATTACGGTTACGTTACAATGTTTATTGAGTATTAAAACCGATATGTAGTTGACAATACAAATAAGATTTAATATTACAATTTTTATGGTTACATTATAATTTATTAAATAAATAAATAAATTATTATTAACATAAATTACTTTATATAATAAAATAGAAGATATATTTCTTATATATTATAAATCATGATACAAAATATTTCTCGTTAATTTAAATATATCTAATATTTAATTGATAGTATCATTTAATGTTATTAATTAATTTTGTTTCAGAAAATGGATGGCAACAGAGATGGTGTAGTGACGCTATCCGAGTTTTTAGAAGCTTGTCGAGCAGATCCGGATATCTCAACCAGCATGGCTGCTCTAGACACTGCCTTCTGACACTCATCGCGTCCGTAATACATACCATGGACTTGAAGGGATCACTCGATTAGGAAATAAATCGCTCAATGTTGTACCTTAACTCCTTGGACCAGAGAGGAAAAAATTCTTCAAAATATGTCCCATCGTCCTGGAGCGACTGATATGCGATTTTTCAGAATTGATTGTTTTAAGAGACACTTTGCGCATTAGCTCAACAAAATCTACTCAGCGGAATTTCTAGATATGCAAGAAAAGATTATTAAAAAGAAAAAGAGTAAAAGAAGAGTATATATAAACGGAGTGTTTCAACTCGAAATTTGTGACTTAGACGTACCAAAAAAATTACAAAAATGATTGTTTTGTGATAGAAACGAAACCTAAGCGAATATTTGATTGATGTGCTGCCTCCCCCTTCCCTGAAATAGGATGTTTATAGGATTAGATATCAGAATCTACAAATAAGAAAATATATGCAGGAGCAGATTGAAAGCAAGAAACAAGCATATTAGAACGATAAAATAATTTTGGTATTTTGCTTGAAACTTGTTTAGAAAATGATGATATCATAGGCAAACAGTATGACATCTGTTACGAGAAGAATGTAATGGGTCCTCCAATAGTTTTCAAATATTGATAAAATGGTAACGATTTCATAAAGCTTTTAGCATTAGTGAGTGATGAAGTGATTAACGAATAAATGAGAATTAGAAACGGATCCTTTGTATCGAATGAAGATTGCAATTAAATTGTAAGTGAAAGATTAGTAATGTATTTTTAAAATTTATGCACGACGTTACTCGCACTATTTTATTCTATTTTTAATTTAATTTAATTTTTAATTATAAAAATTTTTAATTAAAAATTTTTATTGATATTAGCCTTCATATATTTTTTATAGTCAAATTTACGTAAAAATATTAAATAATATAATACTAACTGTCAACACATTTTATTTAATTATACGTAAAATTATACTGAACTTTTACATAAATGTTAAAAAATATTCTTACATAAAAATTATATGTTCGTTGAAATACATCTTATTGTTAGACAAAGGATGCAATGATTAAAAGTGATTGAAAATTGTTTTATGTTTGAGTTATACCTGTGTGCTGAGGCAATAAAAATGCAACAGCATATGTATTCAGTTGCATTTCCAAACTGCAATGTATTGTACATTCAATGAATGCTCATAACCCTCGTACAATTTTTAATAGCGGCGAGTTTCGCGTGCAAATAGAAAACAAAAAGACACAAAGTTAAATGCGAGGATGAGCGTTAACTCATGAACATACAAAGTTTATCGTGAATCCCGTCGTACAGCTGGATATGTCAAACGGGATTTGTTGTTTCTAGTGCGTAAGCATGTAGATGATAAGCGATATCAAAATATTTATTTTTGTGACAGGTAAGCGTATTATCGTTGTAAGAGTCTAGATTGTAAAGACTGTGTGCTGCTAAAGAGAGAGAAGTTGAAGAATTGGATTAATTGAGGACAAAAAGTAGAAGAATGATTATTCGAAGACGTAGAAAAGAGCCTCTCTCTACCGATCCGGCATTAGAATGATTCATTGCCGAATATACGAAAAATATATAACGTTTTATTATAATTAACCAATACGAGTCGTGGAGACTGGACCAAGGCTTCCGCGATGAGCGAAGAAGATTTACTTGAGCAAAGTATATTTAATCATTTTCCATCACTGCCTACTTCTGGATAACTATAAATAAATAAGGAGGAATATGGACGGAGTAATGAACGAAACAAGAATCTCCGATGCATCGAGACCAGCAAGTCTGATCGAAATCATCGACATTAGATTGAGAAGCAACATGAGGCTTATATTTATTTAGATATATACGAGTTTCAAGTATCCTTTCGTTATGTGCGTTTTTTGTAAAATACTCGAGATAACGAACCGATTTTTTGATATTTCTTCGATTTAGAAAATAATGTGTGATTGCGGCGACTAACTTCTTCAACAGCAAAGCTGACACAACTCCAATTCACGCAGTGTATCAATATGTCGAACGTGGAGAGATAGAAGAAGGATGTGAATTAAGTCAGTAAAGAAATGATAGAAATGACAGAAAAAAAAAACAGATCGCGCACGACGAGAATTTCAGGCGTAAAGATTTCTTCGATTTTTAGCAGCGCCTATCTATATATAGAGCATAAGACTTATATATAAATTGAGATAAACATCGAATGTTGTCTCATATCACTCGATCACTACCGCATGTCTTTGAAGTTACGTAAATAAGTATATAAAAGACAGAAACGGGGTAACTGTGTCGTTTAGATACTTTCGAATTTGGTCGGATATTAGTTTTAGATGCGAGAAGGGAAGGAAACAAAGTACTCTTACCCCACGATAATCGGAAATAAGCTAAATCTAAATATGTTATGAGCTTTTTTATGCGATGCCATTAGTTTTAGAATAATGTTATTGTTTTTTAAGAATTAGCGAGACTGACGATAACTGGAATATTATTAAGTTCGCAAGATATAAAAAGAAAGCACACAAAATAGTAATTTTTTAACAAGACGGAGATGTAGCATTTATTTAGGGTGTGAGTTTCATTACATAACGTCACTCCGTTTAATCCATCTGAACTATACATTCACGCATACTTTCTCCCTTTATTTATGCTTATTGTATACTTCCTCTAAAAATAGAATTCAGTAGACACTTCTCTATAGCTTTGATTCTTCTTGTATGCTATCGTCATTTAATCTCTATTGTGCGCGCTGCCAAACTGCATATTACCTTCTTTCGCAAACATCGAGTTATCTACAGGAAATTTCATAAAATTTTAGTAACGTAAGTTCGATCATCAATGTAATACGAAAAAGTTTTAATTTAAATTTTATCACAAGTTATTTTATGGGAACAATGAGAAAACGAAATTAACAATGATTTAATGTGTAACATACTCTTTATATTATCTTAAATCAACGATTGCCAATGGTTATATTTTATATATTACGAACAGAAGAAAGTAATATAGTGCTAAATAATTTCAAACCGTATTAGCTTGTCTTTAACTTCGTAGTTACTATGCTAAACTATAAGCTATATACGTACAATTTTGTTTAGTGCAATATCAAGTTTTATATTGTTGGACAATAAAAAGTTTTATTATAACGCGATCAGAGACAAAAAGTAAACAATAGTAACATTGACATATTAAAGATATGTAATATTAGGGTAACATTTCCTAATTTTTCTCAGGATATACTTGATATGGCTGCTGAAAGTAATTCAATTATCATATTTTAAATACATAATTGGCAACTGCTTAAAAGTATATAGGAATGAGAACTATTTATGCTCAATCTAGTTATTAAAATATAAAATTATTGATTCTAAACACAATTCAAAATAGGATATCATAATGGATACTTCTAAGGTTCTAGATTATTATTGTTATCTTATATGTGATTTACATAAATCATACACACATATGTATTTTTTCTTCATTTAATCGAGCTGATAAAAAAGCGTACATAAAAATAGCGTTCTCGATTTTTTAATTAAAAAAGCAATTATTTTTATTTTAACTTCTATTCTTCCTTCTCTCTTATGAGTTAT